TAAGTCCTCACACATGTGTTCGAGGGAGTGCCTGGTACCTCACTCATTTTGCCTCATTTGCACTGCTTTGATGTTTTGGGTTATGAGTGGGTGCCCTTTTTGGTTGCTCTGCTTCTTCCTTTTGCACTATCCCTCGATGTCTTTATGCCAAGGATGTTACTGCATTTGAGGTGGTCCGATCTGTTTGGTTTAAGTGGGATGTATATGTATTTCGCTTAGCCCACACATGTCCTGTTCCCTGATCAGTGGTGGGAATTTCTCCTTCCAGTTGGCTGAACTTGAGGTGAAGATGGTATGATCCTCCTTCCTACCCTTGCAGTTGAGTTTTGGATTGTAGGTGACTTACCAATGGTATGATTCGCGTCACTTGCTGTGTACAGTGAGTTGTGGCCTAAAAACCCTACATTTTGGAGCACATCTCATCTTTTACACACATTTTGCTCATCAGGGAAATTGAAATTATTATATATTATGGTTAGGATCACTGTCCAACAGTTTTCTTTTTCATTGAGATTTGCTTCTCAGAATTGTCTACCTGGATCTGTATTGCCTTTTTCACATCTGGGCGAAGAGTTATACCTGGTACAGAAGTGGTGTGGTTTTATTAGAGTGTTCCCTCATGACACTTTCGAAGGATGCTTCTACTTTTCCCTTGAACCGGTCCCTCCACCTATTCAATGTGGGATTCTAGCTATGTATGTGAGGGGGAAGTAAGGTACCTTGTTGGAAGTTATAATTTTCATACACTGAAAATATATTTCCGATAGGTACTTACTTCCACTCATATTTCCCACCCTTCCTCCCCACTGTCACACGGTACTTGAGTTTCTACCTAAACTCAAAGAGATAGTTAGGTAGAAGAGCATAGAGGGAGTCACGTGTGTGGGGGGGCATGTTTATTGTTGGAGGTATGTCGTATGATAATTTTAATGTGAGAATCAGTTAAGTCATTTGAACCGAGGGGTACATGGGAGTGAAAGGCTTGTGGTATACAAAAAAATAATTTTGCAAATAGAGGGCAGCACTGAACGAGAATAGCTATGTATTTGAGCAAAATTAAGTACCTGTTGGAAATATATTTTTCAGTGTAGGAAAAATTATAATTTTCTAAATTCATTGCATTTTTCTACATTTTTTGAATTTACATTTTATACTGATCATGATTTTTAGTCTTAGCAGGATTTTCGTGCTCATATGCATTGCTTTCACAAATGCTTAGTAGTTGTTAAATGTTTTCATTACACTTTCAAAAGAAGCTCACCAGTTCTAGACTGCCCATTTAATTCTGGATTTAAGTTTTTCATTGTCAAGGTCTCCTTGATTTGTAAAGAATAGTCATTTTTGGCAGTACCAATAATTTTAAACTGCTCGATAGTTTAAACTGCTCTTCAATCTTGCATATATTTAATAATGTTCAACACCTCTGCATACCTTGGTAAGTTACTAGGATAACATTTACAATACACAGAACAAAATGCTCCATTATTTTTTAATCTTCCTTTTGTTTTGCACATATACTATTGTAAATTATTTATTTGCTTATTGTGAAGCACAAACTCCATGATGGGTTATCTGTACTTTGTCCACCACAGATATCAAAACTCAATTTTTATCATGATAAGCCCTCAGATTTACTACTGAGTAGCATAGTAACTTATGAATCAACTCTAAAATACATTATGTTCATTTCTATAAGAAGTTCATGGGTTGTCTTGAACATTGAATTTCATAATGATAAGTTGGAGGAATTAAAAGGAGAAAAAAAAAGTTTAATGTTTAATATTAGTAACAATATGTGAAATATTTTGGAGCATTTCACTTTTATAGATAAGTAGTATATTTCATATTCCATTTTATTACACCAATAATAATACTTTACATCATCTAACATACTTTGCATAATTAATAATTACCTCACTTGATAAAAAGTCCAATTAAAAAATATAGCAGTCCATGTGACAAAATTGACAACACCTTTTCCATCATTAAAACCCTTCTGTAACCCACCAGTAGTAATACTAATTAAGCCAATTATGGCAATCAATACAATATACAGAACCTTTATCTTTGTTTTGACACAAACTTTATATAAAAGCTAATGCATGTAATTGTTATTGACATGCCTGTATGGGGAGATTGGATTGAATATGCTGATTGTCTTAACATATAATATTGAAGAACAACAAGGGACTTTTTGGTCCATCTTGGCCTTCCTATCTGCCAAATTAAACTGAACACTAAAAAATTTAAAGCCAGTCCTTATCATTCAAATATTTGTCAAGCTCTTTCTTAAACTCCCTTAAATTAACTGCACCTACCACATCTGAAGGCAACCTGTTCCTGTTACAAAAATAAAGCAGTTTGTGATGAAGATGACTTCTACTGAGTTGGGAAGGTTAGGATAAACATGTATCATCCTGGTGATTTGATTAGCTTATGTTGAGAGTTTTGGGAACCAAGTGTGTGATGATACTGCCTTCATCAAAGTGGATGACCATCTGAGCTGAAAAAATGAAGGTAACTCAAATTTGGCCATGGGAAAGTAAAAAGTACAGCCAGAATTGTGAAAGTTAAGCTTAAAAGTAATTCATCCAGTTGCATGCATGACTGCTGCTTCCTTGATCTTTAGTACTTTGAGTCTCATCATCCAGCTTGGGGATCTCCCCTTCATGATTCTGACAAATCTTTGGGGGATATTTACTTCTACCTTTTTTGTCATTTTGATCTTGATTTTTTCTTTTGCAGTTAATTTGGTTTCTTTGTGTTTTTAGATTTCCTTGGTCAGAATGCCTTACCAGTGTTCAGCTCCCTCAGTTTTATCTCAGGAATCTTTTGGATGAGACCTTTAGAGGTATTCCTTATACTCTGGTAATTCAAGCTCAAGCTGTTCATCAGTAGGCTTCTCTGATTTTTTGGTCCAAGAAGGCCCAACAGGTTTCTCATTCTCAGGAGTCTTGTCAGGTTGGCCCCTCATCTGTTTATTTTTGACTTCCCCAGTGGACCTCCTTTGCAATCTACTCTTGGGTCACACAGGTGCTTTCTCATTGACTTTCTACCTCCTCTTTCTCCTTCCCTAGTTGTCTTTCCAACCCCCCATATCCTGTGTGCCTTTGACACCTTGAGGAAGCTGTGTCATTTCTGTGGATTATGTATGCAGTGGAATGGGGCCTTCTCCATTTTGTTTGTTCCCAAGAAGATGGGAGATTGGAGACTTGTCTAAGCTCTCTCGTCTTGAACCGAGGGATGGCAAGAAATTGCATGGTTTTCTCAATCTGAGGTGAATGTTCTCCCTTGGACTGTGGATGTCAATGTTTTAGATACCTTTATACACATACTAAATTGTTCTTCCACCCATTGCTTTCTCTGGTTCCTCCTAGATGAATGGTGTTTTTTTTCTGATCCATTTCCTCTCAGTTAGCTATGGCCCCATATGTTTTAAATTGGATCATGAGAGATTTACATGGGTGCATTTGTTGGGTCTCCATTACCACTGCTATTGGGTGAAGAGTATTCCCTTCATGGGAAGTGATGCCCCATTAGGCTACCCTCTCTCTCTCTCCTACCTACCTAATGAATGACATGTTCTGTGGATTTTTCCTTTTTTGATGCTATATTTTCAGAAAGAAGCTCATCATGGTAATTTCTTTATCTGCACTGGCCCTTCCACTGTCTTATCAATGTAGGATTCTAGCTCTTTTCTGTGCAGAAGGGTAACTTTGTGAAATATGCATTTTCACAAAAGGAAAATATTAACGTTTCTGAATTGAGAAAGAAACAAGAAAATATCCAAGTAAAGTTCTTAGTAAAGAGAAAGTTTTCTTTAGTATGAAATGATGCTGTTGAACAATGGTTTTAAAGCTTACAAATCAGATTGTCCAGTTCTTGTAACTATTTAATAGGCTTTATTCTTGGACTGTTGAAAATTGTGGTGAAGGACAGGTTTTAGAGATTTCTGTATTTGGGAATTCACAAATTAGGCATATTAATAGGCTTTTTTGAGGTGAAATACAGTGTTACCAGGTCTAGTTTGCCTGTAGGTGCAGAAACTCAGTATTTTATGGGGATAATTGAAAGTGTTTAATGTTTAAGTCTTAAAAAATGATCTGGTAGTATAAACTTAAGTGATGATGTTTCAACTTAATGGAACCTTCATTTTCTTTAAATAATAAGACCCTTGCTAAACAAATTGGACTGTAATAATTTTTATAACTTTGTATGCAATACACAGACATTGGGAAGGATTCAAAGGAGGGCTGCTAAGAGAATATCTGGGATAGTAAGATTGTCATATAATAAGGAAAGGTAAAAATATTTGAAATTTTTTCTCATGAAGAAAGAAGAGTTAGACAACCTAATATTAATGCATCTTTTTTTAATGTAATAATGTAAAAGGGGGTGCAAATATAAATTCATATAAGTATGTGTTTATTGGCTCTTTTAAATCCATATTCTTGTGTCTTAATAAAAATATATATAAAGAAAATTGTGGGTGTTTATGTCAAACACATTATCTACTTGTCATTAACTATAAAATTTAGAGTTATTCTTTGGAGAATTTATGTTACTGGTGTAACATGAAAGAAAACACTTTGCTGAATTTACAACAAAATGTTTGTTAAGACCGTATTAAATTATACATAAGCAGATAAAAATAAAGAAGCAATGGTTTTGAGCACTTTGTTTTTTTCTTTACTTTAGGTAAAATAAAAAATGATGAATAACTACCATACTTCTGTTACTGGAACCAATGACATTCGATACCCTAACTTGGACCTTGGTGGAAAGCTTGTCATTAAAGCACAACTTGGTGATGACATTCGTCGGATTTTCATCCATAATGAGGATATTACTTATGATGAACTTATCCTGATGATGCAGAGAGTCTTTAGTGGGAAATTATCTAGTAGTGATGAAGTAACATTAAAATATAAAGATGAAGGTAAAAATGTAACCATTGTGTTAGCATGTTATCTGATTTTTCTTTTAAAACTTACTAATTCCTTGTTTCAGGGTCTTGTTTGCACCAAGTCTTGTTTACACCTATATAAGTTTGTAATTATATATATTAGTCCTTGTGAATATATAGTTTTATCAAATTTTTATGTATATGTAAGTTTCTTAGTTTGTATTAGTCTTGAATAAGTACTTGCTCATATCTTTATCAGAATCATTCCTTGTGGACATATCAGTCATTGTATGTATTTGTGTGTTTATAACTTTGTAATTATTAATGAGCCCCTTTTTATTTCACACAACCAGTTCATCAGTCTTTCCTTTTGTGTGTGTGTGTGTCTATATATATATAAAATATATTTAGCTTTATCAGCATATGTATCAGCCCTTGTGTATGTTAGCCTTATTGTCTATTAGTCCTTATTGACTCTTATTATTCTATGTGAATACAGTACTGTGTTTGTGTATTGATATAAACATATATTTATAAAAAACTTTTTATTTGTGAGTTTAGATGTGAAACACATAATTGGCTTGTTGCTAATTATGGAGTTTGGAGTTTTTTCTTTGGATAATATTAAGTTATATGGCATATCCACACCTAAAAGTTTTTTGCATAACCTTAGCTTCCCACCATTTGTAATGCTTATTCTTGTGGGTCTTTGTTCATTGTGTGGAATATCTTGTTAAATTGAATAATATTTTTACTTTATACATAATTGTATTTGGAATGGATTAGAATTAAAATTTATATTCTTCTATAGTTATATACTTCAAAAGTTTACTTGTAGATAAGACCTTGTGATTAATCTACAATATGGTTATAACTACTTTTACAATTACAATTTAATTTGTTGTTTTAACATCAATTTGCACAACTGAAACTTAATCTTACTAAACAGCTTCTCAATGAGTGTCAATTTTTTATGAAACTAATTATATCTATCTTATATTGCATGAGTTCTGTACTTCTATTACATTATTAATAGGAACAGAAAATAAATCTATAAGTAAATTTAAATATTCTGAATGAAATAAATGTAGTTTTGTGACACTTTCAACTTCTTTATATGTTAATGAAATGAAATTTATATATGTATGACACCAAAGCTATTTCTGAAATCATCCACTCTCTTCACACAGTAGATATTTCTCATGTGCCTGCCATAGAGATTTTGCACACTCCACTAACCTTCAATTATCTCCTTCCTAAACATCTTTTGACATGAACTGTGCTAGTACATAATGCAAATGTCATGCAGCAATAGCCTTCCACCAATAGGAGAATGGCATGTTCTCCATGCACAGTAGATCCTCATATGCACTTGAACTCAAAATTAATTTCATTCTTAAACTAGGCATTGTCATTAACAGATGTGTTACATATTGCACAACTTTTGTGATTAATTTGACATGGTAACCTTTAATATCATAGTTACTTTCTTTCTGACAATTTCTTCTTTTAGTGCATGTCTATACTTCATTTTTGGCATGTGAGATTTATAATTCCATTTCTCACATTAGTTTATTTCTGAAAAATGGTGAACTACAAGCTATGTCAGTGTTACCTTTCACATTGTTTTTCAAACCTGTTAATGGACATTATTCTATACAATTGCCTATACTTCAAACAGTTTAGTGCATCAACTGGTTTTTGTATGTAAATATATTTGAATTTCTAGGCCTGTGATCTGTTACTTTGAGGATTTTGAGGTAGTAAATTTAAGTGAGTTTAAGAGAAGGCTTGATAACTATATAAATGATAAGGGCTGGTTTTAAGATTTTTTTTAACTTATTTATTTTATAGTTTTAGTTTGGTTTAGAAGATGGGACAGCCAAGATGGACCAGTAGGTCCATTGTTGTACCTCAAAATTATGTTATGTTATATGTAGTTCCATGAACCTGTATATAACAGTTGTTGCATATATACATAAAATCTAAGGATGGTTTTGAGCATTTCTACATTGTAAACTTTCATGTTTCTCTGTTTATGGCTGCTAGAAGTTCTTTGTCTGTGGAAGATGTTACCACTGGTTTTTACCATTTAATGGATTTTTGCCTTCCTTCCCACTTCCTCAATTTCCTGTGCATTTCAATTCCTGAGCTTGGTCAAGAGGTTGATGTTTTTGTCCAGCTATTTCTACTGTTTGGTTTTGCTGTGGCTTCATCATTCTCTGTTGAGGAACACATCATTCTTCTTTCTTTTTTGCTCCTTGTGTCGGGTTTGTATTATGCCATCCCTTTCTCCAGTGTCTTGTGTTTTTCTCAATTTTTATTCCATGCTTTAGTTTTATTCTTTCTCCCTTCACCTGACTTTAGTACCCATGCTGAGATATTGTCTCAACATCGTTCCCACTCTTCCCCACCTGATCTTTCTTGTTTCCATAATTCCTTTTATATGGCTTATAGTTGCTCCTTCTCTGCCTTCTTGATCTTCTGCTTACTTATTTATTCCATCCTTGCCTTCTTCTTTTTCTATCCCTTCACTGTCTGTTTTCTTCTTATCTTCTCCACCAGTGTTCAGACAGTTTTTGTGGGGCATCTCTAGTTGGTTCTTTTCCCTAATTAGGCCAGAATCATGCCTTTGGCTATCTGTCTCTCTTCTCACATGGTTTCTGTGTATTTGAGATCTCTTCGGACATGTCACTATTTTCACTGTTTTTCACCTTCCTCAATATTTCCTGCTTGGGTTGTGTCTCACATCACTTATTTAATACGATGTTTTTGGGGTGCTACTCATTTTTCCTTTGCGACTGTTCCTTAGCCTGTGTACCTTCATCCCGTCTAACATTTCTTTTTTCTGCCCCTCTACCTTCTTTTGATATCCTTTGTCCTTTGGGGTTAGCTTTTGTCTGTCTCTCCCATGAATACATCTCTTTGTACCCAATTGGTTCAGGTCATATGGGGGCAGTTCTTTTCTTCTTTTCTAATCTGTGGACACCACTTCCTCCACCTTCCGATCCTCAGTATATCCACTGTTTTGAAGACACATTGTTGGATTTCTTGATTTTGAATGCCATAGAAAGTGTCACTTGCACCTCTCCAGATTACTATTCCCATCTCTTCATTGTCCCCTTGAATCTTGGGAGTTGATATTCCCTTATCATATGTCTTCTGTTAACCACTTCTCATGATTCCTCAGTTTCAGATCAAGAGGTTTCTTCTTCTTAGTAGGTTTTCCTCAGGCCTTTGGATGAAAATGGTCCATATCTCAAACACCTTTCTTAACATTCCAGCAGTCCCATCTTTAGGTTAGATTAGGTAAAATAATAATATAATAAAATACTTTCATGGGGCATACATGCAAGCAGCTTGTGGGTAGTGTAATTGGATAGCATAATGTGAGCCACATGTTTCCTAAGTAATTTTAATTTACAACTTATATTTTAATTGTGTGGAAAGTACTAGTAGTTGGAGTTAAACATGGTTCAAAGGGCAATGAAACAATAGAATTTAAGTATAAATAGATGAATACTGTAATGAGTTTAAAGCTACTTAGGATGAACAAATGTAGTTTCAAGTTACAATTTGAAGTCATTTTAGAAAGAAAAAAGATAATTTAGATTAATTTAATTACATGGTCTATCAAATTGGCCAACCTTGTATAGAGTTAGTGCAGAGAAAAAAAAATATTAAGTTTTATACAAAAAATGTTTGAAATGCATTTAGGAGGTTTTTAAAGATTACAAAATAACATTTGAGATTTTTGAGATGAAGAAAAGTGTTTTTACTCTTAACGCGAAAATCATTTTGCACTTGAACTGGTAAAAAAAAGACTTGATATATTCACAGACAAATCTTTATTAAAAATACTCCACAGAAAAACTGATTTTTATGTACAAACAACTTGTAATGTTTACTAAAAGTCTGCCAAATTTTGTGAAGCTACACATACTGTATTAAAAGTTATAGTATTAAAACAATATACAAGTAAAAATGGTCACTTGGTTGGTCATTGGGACCGAGCCCATATTGAGAGTTCAATGCTAAATGTGCAGTACATTTACTCTATGTATGTAGCATAGTCCAAATGTCATAAACAGACTACTACAAAGTTTATGTGTGTGCCATATGGCGGGAATTTCCGGGAAATGAACAGCAGCTTTGGTTTTGGTATATCAAACTTTCACTGTGTTGTTGGAGGTCTCAAAGACAACATACAAGAGAAAGGAATGATTTGTACATTATGCTAAGCAAAGAGGAAAGTGATTTGCAACTGGGGTTGTTTTGATTCACAAATTTCAATCCACATGGAGGATGTGGTGTCTTATTGATGGAGGGCTATTGTTACATGATGAATACATCAGGTACTAGTGCAGTTCACATCTATACACATGATTTAGGTGGGAGATAGTTCAAGGCTAGTGGCATGCACAAAATCTTAACAGCAGGCATGCAAAAAATAGCTACTGTATTTGTTGGCATTTAAGATGATACTTTTTACTCTTTAAAACAATACCTAATTGTACCCCTCACCTTATACACAGGTTCAAAGATAGAGTTCCAGTAAGAACTATCTGGTTAATAACATATTTAACCAAAATAATGTTGTTCCTTTTACTTTTGTTTGCTTTTTTGAGTAAATGCATTGACATCATGCCACCTATTACATTGCAATAACGTATTTGTAATTGTTTCATTTGTCTCGATTCTCTATAAGTAGAAGCTGTTTATCTCGCATGTCAGTTACAATTAAGCAAGACATTTTTGACTTGAAATGTATTAATCTTGTCCGTTGTTCTAAAATATTACTAATGTTATATCAAAAAAGATAGTTTCTGTAACATGCACTAATTTAATAAACATGTTTTAATAGTAGATCACTATATCTTAAGGTTTAGTATTTTTTGTAATAGAAAAGGAGTTCAACTGTTATAAAAAGTTTGTAAAGTTGTTTATTACATGTTTATGACTTAAGTTATGCCACATGGAGATGTCTGTAGCATTTGAAGAGCATAAAAAAACACTTGTGGTTATATTAATTA